AGTAAGCTGAGAACCTGATGGTCCTGCTGCTGTACCACCATCCCCTGGGCACTTAACTTCCACACTTCCTTAATCTGAGGCAGTAATCCGTTCACATCCCATTGAGGCCATTGTTTGGGAGGCCATACCACTTGGGGCAAATACAGTCCTACCTGGTACCAAAACTCCATGAGTAAATGCTCATGGAGTAGGAGGAGTCAGGATTTTTAAAGCTGGGTTTTGACTTAGTTTTCATAGAAACCTTAAAGCTGGGTGCTAATACTGATTAATTAATTTGAGCTTCAGCTCCCAAATGAGTTTTGTTCATTCCACGTCATTTGTTGATTCCTGCCACACGCTAGACACTGGCCAAGGCCTTGAGGATTCAGCAGTAAGATAAACTCCTTGTCTTTCAAACATTGACAGTCTAGTGTGGGGGAAAAAGCAAATAGAAATAACCGTGCAACGTGATGGTAATAATACTGTATCTCATTTTAAGATGCCATCAATTGTAAGATACACCGTTTTTTATGTGCCATCAAGAAAAATAATACTGCCATGAAACTGAGACACGATGTCTTAATAGTCCCATGTGACACATGAACCAGTCACACCAACCTTTCCTTACTTTGAAATTGTTTATCATCTACCCTAAGGGATTTCAGTTTCTCTGGGCTCCAGTTGCCTTGCTTCCTATGTGACAGCCCGTCTTCTAGACGTATCTCAGTAATAAAATATAGCCCAGCTTGAACCGTTGGTAGCTTCCTGTCCTCTCCCAGAAAGCACTTGGCTGTTGCTTCGGAGGGAGCACAGACAGTGGTTGTTCCTCTGATGATGTATATCTGCTTCATTAATATCAAATTTATGCCCTGCTGCTGTGTTTCGTATCTTTCTTCCTACTCAACAACTTTTTCATTTCTCTGCTGAATCATAGCATTCTTGAAGGCAGTTTGGATGGCAGTTTAAACTCAACAAATAAAATACCCAAGAATGCACAAAACTCTACCAAAGACCTACGGCCCGGTTTATGCTCATGCCCTCGGTGACACCGACATGGGACTGCCGCCTGAAAAGCAGCGATCCTAAGACCTTTGACTGTAAGCACAGCTGGGTCTCAGGGATGTGAAGACGGAAGAAAATAAATTAAAAACAAAAACGTATGTTCTGCGGAGCCTGGAGGAGAGAGGAATGGGGAATCGTTGCTTTGTGTGCATCGGGCTGCCTTCCGGAGTGATGAAAATGTTCCAGTGCTAGGTAATGTGGATGGCTGCACACGTAGTGCATGTATTAAGTGCCGCTGGATTGTACACTTGAAAAATGACTAAAACGGCAAATTTTTTTTTATGCATATTTTACCGTAATTTTTTACGTCTTAGGGACACCTGGGTGGCTCAGCTGGTTAAGCATCTGCCTTCTGCTTGGGCCATGATCCCAGAGTTCTGGGATTGAGCCCCACACTGGGCTCCCTGCTCGGCAGGGAGGCTTCTTCTCCCTCTACCTGCCACTTCCCCAGCTTGTGCTCTCTCTCTCTGACAAATAAAATCTTTAAAAAATAATAAACAAAAATATGTCTTAGATTTGACAATGGTAGCAGCCTTACTCAAAACTAAGTTTCAAGCCCCATCCTAAGTACATGATGTCCAGAATCCTCTGAGATCCCAGCAACAGCCCTCTACCACAGCTAATCACTGTCATTGCCATCTGTTGACCGTGGCCCATCAATGGCTCAGTGAGGACATCACAGTCCCCAGTCCACTCGTCCGTCCCTTGTAAGGGCCCCATCGTTCAGGCCGCCCTGCCTTCACGCTCGTTCTGAAGATGCACGCCTGTTCCCATCCAAATGTCATGCAGGTTTCCCTTTTGCTCACCGGTGATTTCGTTCATGAGAAGCCCCGGGTCTGGGGCTGGCCAAACACGGCCCCCTGGCCAGCAGCTTGTTTCTGCACACAGAGCGTCACCAGACAAAAGGACCCCTACTCGTTTATGGAAGGTCTGGGGCTGCTCTCAGACCACGACCGCAGAGCTGGATTGCAGCTGCAGAGGCTGTGCGGCTCTTCAAAGCTGAAAGCATTCTCTGGCCCTTTAAGAAGTTTGCAGAGCCCTGTGTTGTGTGACCCCAGAAAACTGTACCCTGCTGAGCCGAGCTGTGCAGACAAAACACGTGCACTCCCCACTGTCGTGGAAGAGAGATGGTCAATGACCAGACAGATACAATGTGGCGTGAGAAAGGGGACTGCTGGGCACAGAGTCCCCAAGAGAGCCGATGGGATCAAGAAAGGCTTCCCCAGGTACAGAACCACCCTCGCTGCCAGGCTCCACAGTTAGGCGAGAGGACAGAGGCCCAGAAGCAGGGCAAGCCCCCAGAGTCCATTCCCTGTCCCCTGTCCCCACCTGCAGCTGCATTTCCCTGTGGCTCTGTCTCTGATTCAGGGGCACCAGCCATCACTTCTGGGTCCTGGGACACAGTTCAACCACAACAGACACTTTCCACTCTGTTCCATGAGATACATCCATGCATCTTTCTCCCAGAGGATTCAGGGATTTCAGGCTGATCTCAGCATAGCAACCTCTCCCTTGGTTCATCCACTAGGCAACTGGCCAACCATCTCTAGACAAGTGAGAGTCAAGCACCAGTCCACCACCCCAAGAGCAGGGATCCCATCCTCATCTCCCTGAGAAGCTCCAACAAAGCCCCCTTTTGGGCTTAATGTGAGAGGCAGGTACTTTCCTCACAGAGGAGGAAATTGGCATTCAATAAACAAGCCCTTTCCCCCAATTCTCCAACTGACCCTCCACCCGAAAAAGGGCTATAAGATTTGTAAAACAAGTTCAAAAATGTTTCCTTATAAAATTGGCCCTTTGCTTCCAGTGACTCTGGGCACCGATGCCTCTCATCTTCGGATCTCAGCAGAAACTTCTATCCTGTTATACCATCTTCTCAGATCTGAGGAGGTGGAGACCAAACAGCTTCCCAGACTGACTTCCCGACTGCCCGGTCAGAGAGAGAGGTCTTCAGGAGGAAGAGGCCTCCTGACTTGGCCCCCAGCAAGGTCTTGCCTGCTCTGGGGACATGTCTACTGGTAGAAGAAACCTGTGTGGTGGGGAAGAAAGCCCAGTGGGCCTGGTGTATTGCCACTTCATTGATCTGTGTGACCTTATCCAGATTTTTGAGCTGAGTTTCATTTTCATCATAAAATGGAGATAGAAAGTAATAACACAGTCCCAGTTTCCCAGGGTCATTTTCAGAATTAAATGTGTAGAGAATAACCCAGGGGGATCCAATGGCTTCATTCAGCTCCTGGACAACAAGTCTTGATTGAAGGCTCCTGGTCCACTCAGGGCTTCTGGGAAGAGAAAGTCTGGGGGTCTTGCTCTCAGAGGGTTTAACCATCTCATTGGGCAGAGAATATACTCCTGGCTAAAGACAGAAATAACAACGCACATCAGGTAAAGCCACAGGAAAGATCCACATGTTGGCCATGGGCCCCTAGGCAAATCAGAGGCACAGTATAAGTAGAAGATTAATTATCCTGATTTGGGACTGTTTCTTGGAGGAGGTGGGCCTGGGGCAGGGCCCCAACAGTAAGACTGAACTGGGGGTGGGTGGGATGGGGAAGAGGAGTGGAATTTCTTCCGGTGGTGTTCCTGAGGCCTGGGCAGAGTGTGTGTGGTGAACAGAATTACACATTTGCCCCACATGTTTATGTGTTTAGATTCACAAACCAGATGGCAAAGTAATGCAGGGTCTGGTGGTGCCCTAGGCAACCTTGGTGGCTCATTGGAATTACCTGAGCAGCTTTAAGAACTGCTGAGGACTGGGTCCTCCCCCGAGAGACTCCTGTGTGCTTGCTTGGGGGGTTGATCTGGGCACTGGGATTTTGAAACCAGCCAGGGGATTCTAATGTGCAGCCAAGGTTCAGGACCATTGCTAGCCTCTTAAACTTCAATGCGAGCAGTCTGGCTTCTGTTTTTTGTTTTGTTTTGTTTTGTTTTGTTTTGTTTTAAGTGCTAAAAGAGAAAGCAACTTTATTTTTAAATGCCAAAATGCCAGGGTGGGGTGGTGGTGTCAAATTTCCGTACTACCTTTGCCTGCCTCCAGCTACTGCCCCCACATTCTTCTAGCTGCTTCAATAAATTCAAGCTCTGACTCAAAATGTTGCTTTCCAAAGAAACAAAAAAATAAAAATAAATAAATAAATAAAAATGTTGCTTTCCCTTTCTGGAAAATTCTACTCCCAGGAAACTCCCTCCCAACTGTGGAGGCATCTTGTTCTTAGGGCTTTGCTATGCTTGTCAAAGCAAGCACTCTGACCCTCGAACATCATGCAGTTTTGTTCAAATGTCATTAACTTGCAAAGAATTTTCCGGAAGGGCCAGAGGAGCCCTTCCCAAGGAGGCCACTGCAGCAACAGAGGAAAGTGCACTGGATTTGGAAGCCAGGATCCCCCTGGCCCATGTTCTGACATGACCACTATGTGGCTGCCTGTCTGAGCCTGAGCTTCCACATCTGTGAAATGGGGGAGGCCAGGTGACCCCACATTCCTCCTCACCTTGGCTCTCTTCAGAAGCTGCTCTAAGCTGAACACAGTGGGGTCTGAGTGCAGTTCACCTCCAGGCTCTGCCTCCTGAGGCTTCCGCCAAGCCCTGGGCCTCTTGCCCAGTGAGCAGCAGGCACAAGGGGCCTTCACAGAGTCTCTGCGTGGTTCTCCTGGGGAGCAGGGGTGAGGAGGCAGGGAGCCTCGCAGACCTAACACAAGGCCTCGTCTGTGTCCAGGCTGAGGGAGGAGTGGACTGAGCGGCCCATGGGGACGCTACCTTGGCTCTGGATTTTTCCGTGGCCTTTTTCAGAGCCTTTCGTTTGATTATCCAATAACCCCTCAGCAGTGGAGACTGATGGAGACAATTAGCTCCATTTCGCATTGAGGACCCTGAGGCACTGAGGCAAAGCGGGGCCGGAGGGTGCCATATGTCAGAGCAGTCAAGAACGTCTGCTACTCTGACACTTAAACTGCCTTTAAAAAATATATACGGGCCACTTCACAAATTTGCATGTCATCCTTGTGTAAGGGCCATGCTTTCTCTGTACGATTCCAATTTTAGTCTGTGTGCTGCTGAAGGAAGCACGCCATTTAAACTTTCTAACCCTTCATTTTCTCACCTAAAAAAGTAAATACTCTTAACTATTTTGGCAGGCCTGCCCACACTCTGTGGTGAGGGAGGCTCAGGGACACCTTTGGTCATCAGGTGGGACCCAGGAGTCAAGTCAGTATAAAGGGCCCTGAGAGGTCCATGATAGGCCAAGTGGTATTCTAGAACTTTCTGTATTTTATCTCCTATCATCCTCACAACAGCCCTGTCTGTCAGGCACTCTTGGCCTCTTTTTGCGGAGGGAGAATGAGAGGCTGAGGGTCCACACACATGGGCCAAACTCAGTTCCGAGTCATGTTCTTCCAATACCCTGTGCTGCCCCTTGGATGTGGGTGTAGCTCAAGAGGCAAGTTCTCATTCTCTTATCCCCTCTGGCCAGCCAGATAGACAGCCAGCCAGCCTGCAGGACCTGGTCAGTCTCAGCCCCAGGTACCATCACAGGCAAAGAAACTAGGGGAGGAAACCACTGAATTTGAGAAACTTATACATTGAAATCATCCCCTTCCTCAGACCAGAGAGAGTCTTTACAGAGAAATTCTATAAGGATTAAAGAGCTCCATACTTTTTAATAACTTAGAAAACCAAAAGAAGAGAGACTTAAACATTCATCAAATCTCCAGAGGGAGAATGTCTTTTATTAAACTTGGAAATCACTGATAAAATCACAAAGGAGAGATTAGCGGGTTTGACTACAGAAGAATGTAAATTTTCTGCATTAAAAAAATGGCGGGGAAGCCGTAAGTGGGGAGAAATATTGGCAGCAAATAAGGGACACAAAAGTTTACTATTTGTTTTTATGTATTTATACTCTGCCTCCTTCCTAAACAGTTTTGAGGAGGGTATATTACATAAGAGCTCATGTAAACTGAAAATTTAAAAACCAGCAAAGAGCCTTATCGATAAATAGATGGGGGCATGAAGAAGCCATTTACATAAAATAAATTATAACCAGTAAACGGATTTACAGAAAAACGTTCCAACCTAGCTAATCGCCAAAGAAAGACAATGTCAAATACAAAAAAAAAAAAAAAAAAAAAAATTCCAGTTGTCACCCAGTTGGCATCACAACCACACCCCACCATTCTTGAGGAAAATCATACGGTATAGGTACTGAGAACTACAAAAATATTTGTTCTCTTCAACAGAGTAATCTTACCAGTGGGGATTTTTGCCATTCTAAAATGGGGAAAGCGTGAGGTGCACCAAGATGCTCCCTGCTATATGAGGAAAAAAGCTAAAAACTGAAAATGGCTTCACTGTCCTAAAGCAAAGAAATGGTTAATTGAAATCTGCCCTGCCCCCTCTAGGAAATCCTAGGTAGCTTTTATAAAAGAAGTTCACAGAGACTTATGGCAAATAAAAATGCCTACAACAAAATGTTAAGTTTAAAAAGCTGGTTAAAAATAAATAAATAAAATAAAAAGCAGGATAAATATTTGGAGTAGTCCTAATATACAATTTGTACTATGAATATAGCTATGTGAAAAAATATACTCATGCAAATATGAGAAAGGCACATCTGCCCCCAACACACGCAGACCCCAGGGTGGGGGAGACAGGCAGAGACCACATACCAAGTGCCTAAATATTAAAGAAATAATTATTTATGAAATCATTGTTAATTTAATAACTAATAACTTGCATTAGTATAAATTTAATGTAAATATGAAATATTTAAATTACATCCTCTATTAAATACTAAATTATTGACTAATTCAAGCTAATAAATCGTCATATAAAATGTTAAATATCCTCTTACCTTGTGATAAGTTAAGATGCCTATTGTCCCTAGAACAACCACCAAGAAAATAACCCAGTGGAGGGGCGCCTCCGTGGCTCAGTGGGTTAAAGCCTCTGCCTTCGGCTCAGGTCATTATCTCAGGGTCCTGGGATCGAGCCCCTCTGCTCGGTGGGGAGTCTGCTTCTCCCTCTCTCTCTGCCTGCCTCTCTGCTTACTTGTGATCTCTCTGTCAAATCAATAAAATCTTGAAAAGAAAAGAAAAAAGAAAAGAAAAGAACCCAGTGGAAAAACCAACAAAGAAATTAAAATGGTAGCTATTTAACACAAAAGGAATCAGTAAAGGAGAAACAGAAACAAAACAGGCATGAGATATTGAAAAGGTAGATGGAAATCCAACCATATCAGTAATTACTAGTATGGACTGAATGCTTGTGTCCTCCCCAAATCCCTACATTGACGTCCTCCCTCCCCGTGTGATGGTATTTGGAGGGAGGACCTTTGGGAGGCAACTGGATTTAGATGAGGTCGTGAGAGTGGGGCCTCCATGATGGGATTAATGTTTTCACAGGTAGAGAGAAACCGAATCCCTCTCCCTGTCTGGAGAGGAGGGAGAGAAAAGGCCACCATCTACCAGCCAGGAAGAGGAACTGAATGGGCCAGCACTGGGATCTTGGGCTTCCAACCTCCAGAACTGTGAGAAATAACTGTTGCTTAAGCCCCCTGGACCACCGTGTTTCATTATGGCAGCTGAGCTCCTGACACAATGACACTGAACCAGAGCAGCTCTATTCATAATAGCACCAAACTAGAAATAACTCAAATGTCTATCAGCTACTGAATAGAAACACAATGGAGTTCTAGTCAGCAATTAAAATAAACTACTGACCCATGCTATAACACGGATAAACCTCAACTACATTATGCTCCGTGAAAAAATCCGGAAAAAGTGAAAGACTTCATGTTGTATGATTCCAGCTACAGGATGTGTCCCAAACATCCAGAGTGGCAAGTTGGGGCTGCCAGTGTAACAGGAGTGGACTGCAAATGGCCACAAAAGTTCTTTGGGGGGGTGATGGAAATGTCCTAACACTAGCTTAGGATGATGGTTATGGGTGATACCCAACTCTGTACATGTACTAAAAATCAATTGTAGCATTTCAAATGGGTGAAATTTATGTTATACAAATTATACCTCAATAAAGTGTTTTTTTAATATGCTTAAAATTAAAAAAAAATTGTGCTGCAAATGATACCATGAAGGCAAAAAGACAACCCACTGAATGGAATAAAATATTTACAAATCATCTATCTGATCAGGGACCTGTATGGAGAATATATAAAGAACACTTACAATTCAATAAAAAGATAACACAATATAAAAACAAGCAAAAGAGCAAAACGGACATTTCTCCAGAGAAGATCTGCAAATGGCCAAGGAGCACATGAAAAGAGGTTCAATACAGCTATGAACGGGACCACCCCAGCCCTGACTCTCCCTTCCAAGGCTCCTTCTGCCCTTTCCCCCGCCAAAGTCCTACTGGATTGATGAGTCCTGACTTGGCCTTGACTCATGAGCAGGGTGGGGTTCAGCCCTGTCTAAACCACAAAGACTGAGAGTAGGGAAAGGGGTGGCTCCTAGAGGAAAACTGAGGTTCTGGGGCAGAAGCAGGAGAACAGATGCCACATAAAGAAACCAAATTACTCGTGTCCCTACATCCTTTGGTACCATGCCTGTCAATCATTGTCTTATCTTACATATATAATGCATATAGAATATGACAGAGAAAATACTGTGGAAATTCAGACGGGGGGATTATCTTTCCACAGAGAGATTTAGGGACCAATTAATGGAAGAGCAGTGTATGAACTTGACTTTGAAGGATAAGTGAAATTTTTCGTATGTATCCATAAGAAGGGGGCACTCCAGGCTGACCCAAGGTGTGAAGGCAGCAAACTATAAAAGGGGAAAGTTAGTGGTTCAGTGTGGCCAGAACAGAGGACGAGGAAGAGGAGCTGCGGCCTACGTGGATGGAAGAGAGTGGACATTGGACCTCAGACGCTGGGATAAAGAGCTCAGACTGATGTTGAGAAAGCAGGAGAGCACTGAAGGTTGTGATCAGGACAGTGTATCATCTGGGATCTTAATCTGGTTGGACTTAATTTCATTTAAAAAAGTGGGGGCAGGGAATGGAGAGCAACCAATTAAAAGACTCCAGAATTGGTCTATGCATAAAGCATCGATAATCTGAATGTCCCAATGGCACCTCCCACCCGGCAGGTCCAAGACAGAAGCCAGCTGGCTTCACCTTCCCCACACCACTTCTCTGCCTTTGTCCCTTGTCGTAGTGAATGGTGTCTGCACCACCACAAGTTAGCCTGGAATCCTCCCTCTTCCACATCTCCCACAGCAGACTTATCTACAAATCTGGTCCTTTTCTCCTCCTAAATTTTTCTGAACATGCTTGCCTTGTTCCTCTGCACCACCTTTCTCTTCTGTCTGTTCCTTAGACGGCTTCTACAGCCTCCTAACTGGCCTCCCTGCCTCCACCTGGTCCCCTTTGAATGTTTCAATGCTCTACACAGCAGCTAGAGTCTTCTATTTAAGTTACAGCCAGCTGGGGACTCCCCACAGACCAACACCTTTGAGGACATGGTAGCAGCCTCACATCTTCCTGCCAGGCCCCTCCACCGATCTGCCCGCCCCTCGCCCCTCCCCCCACCACTCCAAGCTGCTTTCAGTGCACCAAACATAGCATGACCTTTTTCCCCTCTGGACCTTTGCACATGCTGCTTCCTCTGCTCTCCCCCTTTTCTCTCTGTTCCTTCTGTAGGAGCTGGAGGAGGCTGAGGGACAAGAGAAAGGGGGTGGGAGAGAGCTTGGAGCCTCTTGTGGTGGACACACTCCTGTCTGCCCAGCACTGGCTTTCACAGCGGCCCCCCTTTTGTGGCAATGCTCCCCACACTCAGCTGTGTTAGGCAACAGGAGCCACCACCTTATGAGGTCCTGCCTCCCTGCCACAGTGGTCCACCCTCCTGGCCCCAGCTCTGCATTCCAGCCTCCAGGAAGGGGGAATGGAGGAAGGGAAGTGTGGAGCAAGCAAATTCCTTTTAAAGAAGTAACACAGAAGTTGCACGCATCCCTTTCATTCCATTCCATCAGTAAAAATGTCATCGTACTTAGCTGCAAAAAAGAGTCTCTAGTTAGTTGGACTTGTGCCGTTACTAAAAAGTTCCT